CAGCTGTTTTGTGTTTCTTCCATTTGTGAATGATTGCACCAACTGTTGTCACCTTCTCACCAAGCTGCTTGGCGCGAGTTTGGTAGCCCAGTCCAGCCTTGTGTAGGTTTACAATCTTGTCCCTGACATCCTTGGACAGCTCTTTGGTCTTTGCCATGGTGGAGAGTTTGGAATCTGATTGTTTGATTGATCCTGTGGACAGATGTCTTTTATACAGGTAACAAAATGAGATTAGCAGCACTCTCTTTAAGAGACTGCTTCTAATCTCAACTCGTTACATGTATGGAAAACACCTGGTAGCCAGAAATCCTGCTGAATAATAGGGGATCAAATACTTATTTCCCTTATGCAACATACAAATTAGTGCATCATTTGTTAGACATGCATTTCTTTTGAGTTTTTTTTGTTGTTATTCTGTCTCTCAGTGTTTACAATATACCTACCATTCACATTTTTAGACTGATAATTTCTTTATGAGTGGGCAAACATTCAAAATAAATATACATGTATATATATTTTTGGTGGTCTTTTTTAGTTTATATAATAATAACAATAATAATAATAATATTGAACAGCGGTAATCAAATGCCACCAAATGAAAGCTCTATTTGTGTGGAAAAAAAGGATACAAACTTAATTTGGGTACAGTGTTGCATGACCGAGCAATTTCCAGTTAAAATAGCACAATGCCGAATAAAAATGGCCTGGTCATGAAGGGAGTAAAATCTTGCCAACAGCTACAGAGGTCAGTAAGGGCTTATTTTAAAGTGCTTGTATTTCTTCTTGGCAATATTTTAACAGTTTCAAATGAATAGTCTGGGTGTAGCTGCACGTAAAGTAGATATAAACACTAGCTGGATGACAGTTGGGAGACGCAACATGTATCATAAATGATTATCATGTTTTTTAAAGCGGTAGTAAAGTCTGCTTTTTCACTTGTACCTACAGTTAAGCCTATATTAAAGCTTACCTGTAGGTACAGTAAATATCTACTAAACATGCACCGTTTAGAAGATATTTACGTTTGCAGGGGCCGGTGACATCACCAGCGCATGCGCACTGCTCTCTGAATGGCTGGCACACACAAGTATGCCATCCATTGGGAGTGATGTGCTGCATCATAATGTACCGGGTCATAATGTGCTGGTATGTGGTAAATACTAGCACTTTATGACCAGGGGCGTCCCTAGGCAGGTGCGGGGGGTGCGGGATGCACCGTGTGACACCTTTTCCACGGGGTGACACCGGACCCGCTCCACCAGACAATACTTCTGCTTTAATAAAATACTGTTTACATCGTTTTCCATTCTTTGTTGCATGTCAGTGCAGTTGTAAGGGTGTGGAGGCATGAAATACTGATGTGTAATGTTAAACTGTAATATGCCTGCAATATGCTCTTTGGTCAGTAGATGGTAGCAAAGTACAAGAATCGATTTTGCTGTGACTTTTGCTAAGACAAGATAAATGCTTATTTACCCTATAAAGTTTAATGAATACTAATTTAGGGGTTGAGTAGGATCCTCAGAAGGGTCATAGTGAACTGTAAATGCAGGTTTGAGGCTGCAATTAAGAAATGACTTACTGCATCACAAACTCTATGGGAAGGGGAGGAGTTCCGGTGCAGAGGAGGAAGTGACAGAAAGTCTGGGTCTGGCTGGTGTATGCTGAGGAGGTCTGGAGAATCTGTGCGGGGCCTGGAAGAGGATTTACGGCTCACAGTGGAGTCTGGCGACGGCACCTAGGGGAGATTCACCACAACGAGACCAGGAAACAAGTGACTGTATGGTCCGGTTCTGGAGTGGATCAGGAAAAAGCACCAAGAGCCTGCCAGGGAACTGTAAGTGCGCAGCACATCGCACCACACGTGTTCAGTGACATTTTGGATATACCAGAAAGTTACAAGAGACACACTCCACTTTCCTTTGGATTACAAATAGTATTGCGCAATACTTAGGGTGCACCCCAACGATATATCTTGCTCAGGAAAATTCAGGCACAGCCAGGCTGCTTTCTGGACATTGGGGAAAAGTCCGCAAGTACGGGGTTAGTGTTAGACAGTATTATTCTTACTGTATGGTTATGCGCTGTTATCATTCTGTTTACGTATGCTCAACTACATGATCACTATAACTGCTCAGTAAACGTAATTGTTTTAAAAGAACCGCTGTCTGTGTCTGTGTGGCATCGTGCACCCTCTGAATCTGTGGGCCCAGCCCTCGGCCTTCCTTCACAGTTGATCCTGAACTGTGCATGCACCCTGGCTATTAAAGAGGATGGGATTCCTAATGGTGCCAACAGCAGAACATGCATGTACAATATGCACCTGCATGGCCACTTGTAGCCTCCACTGAAACATATGGAAGTGCCATAACGCAGCACAAATGGGAGACATAGACAGCGTGTTGTCATCCTATAACATGAAGTACCAGAAGGAGCTACCCTGTAGATCAGTGGTTCTCAACCTGTGGGTCGCGACCCCTTTGGGGGTCGAACGACCCTTTCACAGGGGTCCCCTAAGACCATCAGAACACACATTTCCAATGTGTAAAGAGCAGCTACTGTGTAGAAAGCAGCTGCTGTGTTGAAAGCAGCTACTCTGTTAAAAGCAGCTACTGTGTTGAAAGCAGCAGTATTGGAGGTAAAACGACACTCATGAATTATAATTACTGGGTAAATAATTTTATGGTTGGGGGTCACCACAACATGAGGAACTGTATTAAAGGGTCACGGCATTAGGAAGGTTGAGAACCACTGCTGTAGATGAATCACCAAGTATTATTTTGTTGAAAGCTGCAAATGTATAAATACTGAAAACCTAAGTTTAAATTATATTAATAGGTTAATGCTTATATAAGATTTTAGTGATTTCATTGACATTCTGTATATCTTACCTATATTTATTGGGGGAGCAAGCATCTTGCCCTTTTATAAGGTAGAAAGGTCTTACTAATGAAAAATAAATCAAATAAAAAAAAAAATCAGCATATCGTTCATTTTATATTCACAGGAATATGTGCAAGCTGTGCCCGATTTATCAATGTACACAGTAAACTTTGGCCTATTCTGCTACTCTGGGGATGCTGCAGGGTTTTGGACTCCGAGTGGAGAAGATTGGCAAATTCATATGTTAACCTTTAACATTGATGGTAGAGAGCTTTTATAAAACTACTAATACACTTTCTCCCTAGGGGCCAGTCAGTATATCTCTAACATAGGGATCTATACGATTAGAGCCTATGGAGACTTATAGAGACAACGCTGCAGGAACTGCTCCACAAACACAGAGAAAACAGCAATAGAGATCAATAGTTGCAGTGACTGTTCTGTGGTTCTTCCAAGAATACAACATAAGGGCTTTGTTGCACTGAAAGTGAACTCATACATTAAAGAGAACCAGTCAGCAATGGCGTATGAAATAATATGAATCTCTGTTATTGAGCGGTTATAATGGTGTAGCCTTAACTCTCAGAGGTTTTTGATTTATTACCTCTATTCAGAGCAGAAGAATCCAAATGTGTGTTAGGCTGTAAGGCTGTATTATCTCCTGCCTGAGTTCAGTGCTGATAGCAGACACTCAAACATTAGTCATTTATAAAAGGTGATGCGAGTGTTACTAAAGATTTTGTTAACTGCCACTTTTAGCTTCTTCCATTAGCCCTGATTGGCTGGCAATTATCAGGCAATGGATAGGTCAGCCTACAAAAAAGGCATTACAACATAACACTGAGCTGACATCTCTGTACCAATGAGGAGAGAATACAAGTGAATAAAAGCACATACTTCTATTCTAGAAAGGTAGACCTGTATTACAATGTCAGCCTAAGATTCTCACTAAGAAGAATCAATTTACGCTAAAATGGGCATCAACCCCCCTGATGTTCTGATTATGTCAATATTTTTGAATGTCAAAGCAGTACATTGTTTTACATGGAAATTTGTTGTTTTATATTGTAGGTCTGTCCCACTTAAATCTGTCCAAACAAGAGTCTAGTAAACATCCCGGGTATGATAAAGTTTGAAACACGAAATCATAAATTACAATATAATAAATAATTATAAAATATTAATAATAATACATTTAATTCAATAATGTAACCAAACCAAAAACAGAAATAGAGCACCAAGTTTGCACATCACTGAGCTCAGTCGCAGAATTGTCTCTGCGGTCACTTTCAGTATCTGATGACGAATTTCCCCACGAATCATTATCACTCAATTCTGCAAGTGGTTCTAATTTACTATCGCTGTTCTCTAGCTGGTCTAAAACCACGTTTGACCTAAAGGGAGGCTTTTTGGATGCCATGGATGTTCTCAAGTTTCCAGGCAGAAAGAACAGTAAAAGTGCAGGCAGGGCACAGGACAAAGCACTAGGGACAAAACGGAGGAGAAATGGTTTGAATCAGTAATGTAATCCTAACAGGTTACAATGTATTGTGTGTATGTCTATTGTGTGTATGTCATGTTTTTACTTTTTTGAATCTCCTGCCGGTTCTGCCCCCCTGCGTCGCGACACTCGCAGGGAAGGGAACCTGGAAGACAGATGCTGGCATCGCCCGGAGGACACCGCGGGAAGACATCGGGGGATAGCAGGACAAGGTAAATTACACTACAGTGTAATCCCGAGTGTGGCTCGGGGTTACCGCTTTTGGTACTTAAAACAAACCCCGAGCCACACTCAGGATTACCGCTAGGAAGGTTAAAGGATAAGTTCACCTTTGCAAAATAAAATAATAAATGCAAATCTTTTTGCAGGTAAAACGTGCATTTTTAATTTTTTTTTATTAGGAGCCTGCAAAGCATTGCACCTGCGATCAGCAGATAGCAAGTGCATTCTTAGGCTCCTGCAGACTGTCAGTGTATCTGTCTACTCATATCTCATACGGGCAGGCAGTTACACAATGACAGGAAGCATCAATGAACTACCTAGAGTGCTCAGCAGACCCCTGGCAGTTCAGTGAAAGCTGTCAGTCACAAAGGCTGTCAGTACTTGTAGTTCTCCCATTAACAGAACTCTGTGAATGAATGATGCAGCCATGTGGCCAGAGCCCAGCATGGCTCTGTTTTTTTTAAATTGTGACAGTGGGCGCGGGGAGAAGATCCTGATTACGGGCAGGGGCGGACTGACCATTTGGAAACTCGGGCACTGCCCGAGGGCCCAGGGTCAGTAGGGGGCCCCATGAGATGCCCCTGGTACCTTTTTCATATGCTTTTTTGAGTTTGGGCAAAGACACAGGGGCCCCATGATCCCCTATTGCCCGGGGGCCCCATGCATTGTCAGTCCGCCCCTGATTACGGGTGTAACATGTAACATGTTACAAAAGGTGACCTTATCCTTTAAATCACAATCTACTGAATTACAAAAATCATAAATGATAAAGACAGTTATTCGCAGAACATCCTATGAAATGGTAAGGCTCAAAAGCATATGACGCCTGATACAAAATGACCGTCAGATCTGCGCATTTGTTGTTAGTATACATAACAGACCAAAAGTGCTGTCAGCTTGGCTCTAAAATGATGACATTCGTGATCTTTCACTGCAACCCACAGTTGCATAATTAAGGTAGAGAATAGTAAGGCCAAAATATTCATCAGATCTCTTGATTTCTTGCAATAATGATGTGATGAGCCTTCATCATGTGTATTATTAGCAGTAATTCTGACACTTGATAAATGATGTGAGTGGATCAGGGCATGTTAGGTAATGATTACACTGGCTTTGTTCACTTTAGTATGATAACTAGGCAATTTTGATAGAGACAAATGAAATGATGGGAACATCTTAATCTATCATTCTGCTGTGAATAAACAGAAATGTGTGGCTACATTTTTTTGCACAAAACAAGTATGTCAATGTGTAACCTAAGACTTGGCACTCTGTTTTAATAATGGATTAGACACCAAAAAATGGTTATTTTTGGTAGTCAGAGTTAACCTCTTCCCACTGCATTGTGTAAATTAAAGTTCCCCCATTGAACCCACAATTACGACATGTTTTCTATACGACCTCTGCTTGAGAGCCAGCAGTTGACACTATGCACCACTGCTTCCACTTGATCCCAGCTCTTGATAGCTCAGGTCCCCACAGATGATAGGAAACCAATCAGAATTGCAGTTTCCTATCATATGACCACTATGTTATCTATGATATAGTGATCTCAACCAGACTGGAGGCTTTTTTTTAAAACAGATGAACACTGCCACCTGTCTCTGATTCAGGTAGATTTTACACTAATAGCCAGAGAACCACTTGTCAAAATTTAACCTGTGCCCTGCTAATGTACTATACATTATCCATTCACACCTATGAAGGGTCATCAGAGAATGGATTGAATGTACAACACTTGTGCATACGTGGGCCTAGCTCAGAGGATATAGACAATTGCTCTGTGGTTTATTGAGCAATATCTTGCTGAGGTTACACTTTAAAATGTTAATGAATATCAAAAGTCTTTTTCAATATTTTTAAATGTGATGTTTTCATTAAATAATACGTGGTGATCCTGTTATGAAGGTCCTTGTGTAGGCACTTCAGCTATAGAGTAACAACACTCTATCCTTGGTTCTCATTTGTGCTCCTGTGTTGTCACACTGGTAATGCCTCTCTGAATGTTCTAGAGGTTGTTTAACCTCCCTAGCGGTCTGATTATGTCCATATTTCTGTGCTCAAAGCGGTACATTTTTTTGCATGGAAATATGTATTTTTTTTATTGTAGGCCTGTAATTTTTAGGAATAACTCACTGAAATCTGTCTGAACAAGAGTCTAGTAAACATCCCGGGTATGATAAAATTTGAAACACGAAATCATAAATTACAATTTAATAAACAATCATAAAAAATAATAATAATAAATTTAATTCAATAATAAAATCAAACCAAAAACACTGAAATTTGAAATATAGCTCCAAGTTCGCACATCACTGAGCAAAGTCGCAAAAACATTTTCAGTGTCTGATGAGGAATTTCCCTATGAATCATTATCACTCAATTCTGCAAGTAGTTCTAATTTACTATCGCTGTTCTCTAGCTGGTCTAAAACCGGTTTTGACCTAAAGAGACGCTTTTTGGACGCCATGGACGTTTCTCAGTTTCGAGGCAGAAAGAACAGTACAAATGCAGGCAGGGCACAGGACAAAGCACTCGGGACAATGTATGTGAAATGGTTTGATACAGTAATGTTTTACTATGTGATTTTAGTGTATTGAGTGAATGTCACTTTTTGTCATTTTCAAATTTCCCGCCGTTCCGTCCCCCGTACGTCCCGACGCTTGCAGGAGACGGAACCCAGATGACAGATGCCGGCATCCGCCGGAGGACATTGCTGGGGACACTGCAGGAGGGACATCGCGGGAGCACAGGACAAGGTAAACAAAGAACAGATGCCGGAGCAGCGCAGCATGGTAAGCCTGAGTGTAGCTCGGGGTTACCGCTTTTGGTACTGAAACTTTACCCCGAGCTACACTCAGGAATACCGCCAGGGAGGCTACAGGATAAGTACAACTTTTGTAACATGTTACACCCATATTCAGGGTGTACCATCTTACAATCAGCCCGGCCCCTGCTCACCACTTTGACAGCTAGTGAGGGATCTCTTCTCTCCACTCCCTAGCTGTCACATTTTAAAAAACCTTGGCCGTGGGGGGCTCTGTCCACACGGCCACGTCGCTCATTCACAGTCGTCTGTGAATGAGAGATTACAAGTCCTGACAGCCTTAGCGGCTGTCAGCTTGTAGTCCTCAATGAACTACCATGGTGCTGTGAAGTGACGTGGTAGTTCATTCATTTTTCCTGTCAGTATATTTGCTTGTTCGTACATCCCATTCCGGCAAGCAGATATACTGACAGATCTGCAGGAGAACTGCATGGCACCAATGATCTGCTGATCACTGCTGCAATGGTTTAAAGGGTCCTGCAGACAAAAATAATAAATGCACATTTGTATACCTGCAAAAAAATGTGCATTTCATATTTTTTTCTAAATGGTGAACTTATTCTTTAACCCCTTCACGCCGGTGCCTCCCGGCCCTTTAAGGGTTTTTTGACACCGGGAGGCGGGATTTAGGGTCATGTGAAACACTGTGATTGGCTGTCACGGCAGTCACATAATCTGAAAGGTCCTGATCACAAGGAGAGATTGGGATCTTTCCGTGGGACACCGACACATGTGCTGGGAGTGCCCAGGGTGCATGTTCTCAGCACATGTTTGGTACGCAAACATGTGGCCACTGGGCATCAAGGCCCAGCTGCCGAGAGGCCTCATATTTGCGTCCCATCGGCGTGAAGAGGTTAATCATACCATTCCTTGATGATCTGGTAATAGTTTTCTTAGTAAAGACGGAAGTCTTTTTTGATGTTTAAAGAGTTACACCCATTCAAATACTGGGGTAAAGTAACATGGAATTTCATGCGGGGTCTGGCGCTGGATCAGTTTAGCGGTGGAGGGAAGGGATGGTTAGTAATGTTTCATCACAGTCCCTCATGTAAAATGAACCTTTCATGAGAAAAGTCCTGGTTCACTTTAAGTTAAAATTGACCACGAGCATTATACATTTCCTTCAAGCATATATGAATTATGGATAGCACATTCAAGATATTTGCCCCAGCATCATCTCATATTAATCGTTTTTTATTAAGTCATACGTTTTCTCAGGACTCTATACAAGCGTAAAGCGTTTTGTATATTTAAATAAAGTGAAGAATAAGAAAGCATCAATACTTTATGCAGAATTCGTCAAATATTAATGTAGGTGCATAAAGCATCATCACGCATGCAGTGTGGAGCGCTACACATGAGCATAATCTCATCAATTACGCCCAACCGCTTTTTCTTTGTGTTTTATTGCTGAGGTTCACGGCAGGGATATAATTATTAGCTGGGACTGCACTGAATACTGTGCTGCTCTGTTATCCACTAGCGAGGCATCATTTTTATGACACCAGCCTCATTGGTATAATAGACAAGGTTAATCACGGAGAGGACACTGCGAGAGTCCCTAGCCCGGCTCCGTCAGTGACAGCGTATTAGTATCGGTGACAAACAGGTCCGCCGAGAGGGACTGGCACCGCCAGATTGGAGACTCAGGTTAAAGCAGACGTGGACTAACTGCGTACCAAACTACATTAAATTATGGCTCTGTCCAGCAGTGTCAGATAGAAATGCATAAAGCATCCAACTGCCTCTACTGACTCTTAACAAAGGCTGCTTGCTGTACTTTTCATTTTGCCTTACACACACCTTTATCATTCATTATTAGCCTCCATGTACACTGCAGCTGATAAACTCACGTTCAGGAGCTGTTCAGCATTTTTTCCAGCAGCCCCTGAACTCTCCCTAATGTTTTCCTATGTGTCCATGTACACATCGTCATTTACAGTTGTTTACAGGCAGTTGAGTTCACAGTTGTTTTTTTGAACGCACCAAACTTGCGTTCATGAGTAGATTTTATCAGCGTTTCAAACGCCAAACACTTGTAAATGTGTGTAAACTCAGCTAACCACGTTTATAAGCGTTTGCGTTTGGAATTTTTTTTTAACTCTTCCATTTCCAGATGCTGTCCAGAGCCTTTTTTCATCATGGAAAATGCATGCAAAGTGTTTTCCTGTTACTCAAATGGACCTGGTACACCATACTTTGAGGTTTCGCATGCAAGAAAATATGTTAGACACTGCTGCAATAATTTCTGCACAGAAATGAGCTGGAACATATCCAAACACCACAAAAAAAAAAGACACCTAATCTCAAAAAATACTGCTCTCTCTGCTTATACTCTCTCTATTTCTCTCAAACAGTCTGAAATACTGTATTTTCCGGCATATAAGACGACTTTTCAACACAAGAAAAACTTCTGAAAAGTCGGGGGTCGTCTTATACGCCGGTATACGGCGAGCCGGTGTCAGGGCGGCACTTTTTCGAGGGGCGGCGTGGCGCCGCCCCCCCCCCCTCCTCTTCAATGGACACTAAGTACAGGGGTGGGCAGAGGGGCTGCTGTACCTTACCTGGCTCCGGTCCCGGTCCCACGATGATCCGGTCTAGGAAGCGCAGCTGCTCCTTCTTTCAGTTCGGCCGCTCGATGGTCGCGCGGCCGCTGGGCTCCGCCTCCTCACCGGTGATTGGGCGCCAGCACTGGAAAGGCACACAAACGACCAATCACCGGCCAGGAGGCGGAGCCGAGCGGCCCCGTGAAAATCTGAAAGAAGGAGCAGCCGCTGCTCTCCCCCACTGACACTAACGATGGGGCACTATTCCTCCTCCACACTGACACCAACGATGGGGCACTATTCTCCCCACTGATACCAATGTTGGGGCACTATTCCTTCCACTGATACCAATGATGGGGCACTATTCCTCCCACTGACACCAATGATGGGGCGCAATTCCTGCCACTGATATCAATGCTGGGGCACTATTCCTTCCACTGATACCAATGATGGGGTGCTATTCCTCCCACTGATACCAATGATGGGGCACTATTCCTCCCACTGACACCAATGATGGGGCACTATTCCTCCCACTGACACCAATGATGGAGCACTATTCCTCCCACTGACACCAATGATGGGGCACTATTCCTCCCACTGACACCAATGATGGGACACTATTCCTCCCACTGACACTAATGATGGGACACTATTCCTCACACACTGACACTAATGATGGGGCACCATCATTGGTGTCAGTGGGAGGAATAGTGCCCCATCATTAGTCAGTGGGAGGAATAGTGCCCCATCATTGGTGTCAGTGGATGAAATAGTGCCCCATCATTGGTGTCAGTGGGAGGATTAGTGCCTCATCATTGGTGTCAGAGCGAGGAATCGTGCCCCATCATTGGTGTCAGTGGGAGGAATAGCACCCCATCATTGGAATACCATACTGAAATAGCATACCATATTGAAATCAAATCTGATGTTTTTTTCATTTTTATTTGGTGTGCGTTGGAAGAGGGGTAGTCTTATACGGCGAGTATAGCTCAAACCCTATATTTTAACAGGAAAAGTAGGGGGTCGTCTTATACGCCCAGTCGTCTTATACACCGGAAAATACGGTAGTTAATAATTTACCACTTTTCAGTGCATTCTGGGCATTTGGGAGTTTCTCCTGTGCTTATCTGTAGCCTCCCTAGCGGTCTGATTATGTCAGTATTTCTGTGCTCAAAGCGGTACATTTTTTTGCATGGAAATATGTCGCTTTTTTATTGTAGGCCTGTAATTCTTAGGAATAACTCACCGAAATCTGGCCGAACAAGAGTCTAGTAAACATCCCGGGTATGTTAAAATTTGAAACACGAAATCATAAATTATAATGTAATAAATAATCATAAAAAATAATAATATAATAATAATACATTTAATTCAATAATATAATCAAACCAAAAACACTGAAATTTGAAATATAGCGCCAAGTTCGGACATCACTGAGCAAAGTCGCAAAATCGTTTTCAGTGTCTGATGACGAATTTCCCCACAAATCATTATCACTCAATTCTGCAAGTAGTTCTAATTTACTATCGCTGTTCTCTAACTGGTCTAAACCCGCTTTTGACCTAAAGGGACGCTTTTTGGATGCCATGGACTTTTCTCAGTTTCCAGGCAGAAAGAACAGTAAAAATGCAGGCAGGGCGCCGGACAAAGCACTAGGGACAAAATGTATGGGAAATGGTTTGATACAGGAATGTTTTACTATGTGATTTTAGTGTATTGAGTGAATGTCACTTTTTAAAATTTTTAAATTTCCCGCCGGTTACGTCCCCCGTACGTCCCGACATCGCAGGGACCAGAAGCTGGAAGACGGCTGGAGGAGACGGCCGGGGATGCTGCAGGGGGGACATCGTGGGAGTGCAGGACAAGGTAAGTGCAGAAGAGATCCCGGAGCAGCGCTGCAAGGTATTCCCGAGTGTAGCTCGGGGTTACCGCTTGTGGTGCTGAAACTTTACCCCGAGCTACACTTGGGAATACCGCCAGGGAGGTTAATAAATGCTTCTGAATGCAAACGCTCATAAACGAGGCTAAATGCACATAAATGTGGTATGCAAACATGGCAAAAATGACATTTTTGAACCTGTGCTTTCCTGCTGTCAATTTCCAGCGTTCAGAAGAGTTCTCCAAATGCACCATGTACATGGAGCCTTACAATTTGCTGGAGAAGATTGCTAAATTAGACCAACAATTGATCCATATCATTTTGCTAAAACCAGGTGACCAATTACTCTAAAACAATACCTGATGATACCTTCAACCTAGCTGGCTCTAACACTAGCACTCAGGCATGCTGACTTTTAGGCTACGTTCACACTAGCGCTGTGTGCAGGCGGCAGAGAGGCGTTTGGGAAGCGTTTTTACCGCTTCCCAAACGCCTCTGCCAACTCTGCACATTACAGCACATGGTGCTGTTCTAACAGGAGCGTTTGCGTCGCGTCGCGTTGCGTCGCGGCAAAACGGACGCCTCTGGTCAGTGTGAACGAGCCCTTAAAGTCAAACTAAAGGCAAAACTTTTTTTTTTATTTGGAAGAGTAAGGGAGGAATACAATCCTCGTCGTCCCATCGGGGAGATTTCACTTCACTTCCTGTCCCGTAGCCCAAATAGAAAGTGAGGGAATCCTGTCGTGTCACCAGAACTATTATCCCAATTGGAAGATTTCCCCTCTATTAGTGTTCTGATGTCAACCCAAAATTTCAGATTTTATTTTACGTTAACTTTTGATGAGTTATTATTTCACAGTAGTTATTATTAGTTTGGAACCACTAATCAATATGAGGATATGAGTTCCTAGATTGTAAGCTCGAAAGGGCAGGGTCCTCAAACCCCTCGTGTATCGCATTGTATTGTTACTGTACTGTCGCATGTTCTGTCCCCCTCTGTAATGTACAGCACTGAGCGAACTGTTGGCGCTTTATAAATACTGTATAATAATAATAATAATAATGAGTTGCCTGTCTATAAAATTTCAGTATTAGGGCTCGTTCACACTTGACTTATTTCTAACTCTTGCCAAATGCCCATATAGCGTTTGACAGGTGTTAGACAGGCGTTTGGGAAGCGTTTTTAACGCTCCTCAAACACTCCCCAAACGCTCCCCAAATGCCCTATGTGCTTTTTGAGGCATTTGATAGGCGTTTGCCAAGCATTAAAACTGCACCACAAACGCCTACAATGAAGTTAATTGGTATTAATGCTACGTAAACGCCTCGCAAACGCCCCGCAAACGCCTGCCATGCGTTTGAGGAGCGGTACCATAGACTTGAATGGGAGGCTTCAGCTCCTCCTGACTCGACATGAGGCGTTAGTTTTTCCGCGATGCAACGCTAATGCTTCAGTGTGAATAGCACTGTGTGCTGCCATGTGCAGAATTTTCATAGGCGTTTGAGAAGCATTAAAAGCGCTTCCCAAATGCCTGTCTGACGCCTGCTGACAAAGCTAGTGTGAATGAAGCCTTAATGTCCAGAACACTGATAAACAGGCTAAATACAGAGGATAAATCTCTCTAACGGGGGCACAGATAGCATTAAAAACCTGACAGGTGTTCTAATCCCTCTCCACTCTATCTTAAAAAAAAAAAAGTTTTGCCTTTAGTTACACTTTAAAGAGGGATTGAACTCTAGAAGCTGGCAAAGGGCAAAGGACTAGCTATCAGCATTACCTGTGCTCTCCCGGAAGCTGATCTTTTCTCCATTGCTGACATATCATGGCTTGTTCTGCACTGTGGTTCTGTATTGATGCAGTCATATTGGTAGAGGCTTGGCTTTTGGTTCCTAATGGTAGAGCCTCTAGCAAGGAGAGCAGTGAGCAGCATAGTAATGACATCACCTAATCTCACTCCAAAACCAATGAGACTAGCAGTCAGAGGCAGCAATACCTTAGATCACACACTGAAGACATACAGAATAGAAAGGAGTGCCTAGGCACACTCATATACCAGGATCTACACTAATATTTTTTCAAGAGGAATCCCATACGAAAAGTATATTTTTCAGCATACTGCTTAGGCACAATTAACACTTCTAAATTGTCCTTATAACGTAGCAAATCTTCACTTTGTGAGTTAAATTCCACACTGTGGCTGAATTTAACCTTTGCATAAAAAAAATTATAAATTGGACCTGTGGGAGCTTCACGCCATAATGAAATAGCATGGACAGCATATTAACATATTATGGCAGACTTCCCTGCCAAGTGATGCCTTCCAGTGTCAGTGCTCTCAACTGTCATTGGCGCTTCCATCTTCTCCCAGTCTTTCTTCCAGATCTGAACTCTTCTCCCACTTGATTGGTTGGGCCATGATGACCTTACTCCCATACATGCACACAGGAGTCGCATCATCACAGCACGGAGCGGTGCATAAATGTACACTGTGCTGCACATGTACAGCTCAGGGTACATAAACTATGACCGGCAGGAAAGAGACCAATAAGGTCGCTTCTGTCTTTAAAATCCTGCCTGTCAGTGTATTTTAAGGTTTCATTTCACTTTATATTAGATTTTATTTTAAAGATTTTATAACAAATAAACATCAAACAACAAGAGCAGCTAACCTCCCCCCCCCAAAAAAAAACATTCAAACCTAGGTCAAGTTACCAGATAAACTGATAAGAGGCATGGAGGAGCTCAGCTATGAGGAAAGATTAGAGGAACTGAATTTATTCTCTCTTGAGAAGAGGAGATTAAGGGGGGATATGATAACAATGTATAATACATAAGGGGGGGATATGATCTCCATGTATAATACATAAGGGGGGATATGATCTCCATGTATAATACATAAGGGGGGATATGATCTCCATGTGTAATACATAAGGGGGGATATGATCTCCATGTATAATACATAAGGGGAGATATGATCATCATGTATAATACATAAGGGGAGATATGATCATCATGTATAATACATAAGGGGGATATGATCATCATGTATAATACATAAGGGGAGATATGATCATCATGTATAATACATAAGGGGAGATATGATCAACATGTATAAATACATCAGTGGTTCATATAGTGAACTTGGTGTAGAGCTATTCACCCTGAGGTCATCGCAGAGGACAAGGGGGCATTCTTTATGTCTGGAGGAAAAGAAATTTAATCTCCAAACACGGAAAGGTTTCTTCACAGTGAGAGCTGTGAAAATGTGGAATAGACTCCCTCAAGAGTTGGTTCTGGCCAGCTCAGTGAATTGTATTAAAACCGGCCTGGATTCTTTACTAAATGTACAAAATATAACTGGATACTAACATTTATAGATAAAGTTGATCCAGGTCATATCCGATTGCCTCTCGGGGGATAAGGAAGGAATTTTTTCCTCCGTTGGAGCAAATTGGATCAAGCTTTATTGTTTTTTTTTTGCCTTTCTCTGGATCAACAGTGGGTATACGATTGTGTATAGAGGATTGCATTTGTTTTCCCCTTTTATTGGTTGAACTAGATGGATTTGTTTTTTTTTTTTCAATCAGACTAACTATGAAACAGCATTAGCATGTTTAATACGTTATCATCTAGTTTTTAATAATATTCAAAAATATTTTATTAATTTTTCTGAATTTTTAATCTCCTGAAGAAAGGTTACAAGGACAAAACTATCAACACCAGCATAAACACAGCCTTGAGAACCCGAAGAGAAAATCTACTTCAGTACAAAGAGAAAAAAACAAAACCGTGTACCTCTAGTAACCACATACAACACAGCACTAGAAGGAATAAGAAAAATAATCAAAGATTTAAAACCCATCATAACAGAGGATGGAACTCTGACAGAAATATTCCAACAACCCCCAATACTAGCTTTCAGACAACCCCCCAACCTCAGAAATAAACTAATCAGTAGGAAACTTCCTTCTGATTATGATGTCACAAATAATGGAAGCGAACCCTGCAATAAACAACGCTGTAAACTGCGCAACCAAATCAATCCATCAAAAAGTGTCAGACACTCAAAAGGGGTCTTCAATATCTCCGGATCATACAGCTGCACTTCTAGTAATGTTGTGTACCTTATCCAGTGCAGAAAATGTAGCAAAGGATCTTATGTTGGCGAAACAGGACAGAAGTTGCAAACAAGGATGAATTTGCACAGACATACCATCAAGGAACATAAAGAAGATGACTTTTGCACACCTGTGGGACACCATTTCGCACAACCAGACCACACTTTGGGAGACCTCAATATTTTAGTTCTTAAAGGAAATTTCAAATCCATTCAGGAAAGAAAAACTTTTGAACTAAGAATGATAATTCTATTTGACACAAGAGATAACGGCCTGAATTTTGACATGGGATTCCTTAATCATTATCCAACACTTTTATGACTATTACCTCAAGCATGACTCCCTCTGTGTGAATGTTGTCTACTTCCCCCCCCCCCTTTGCTTTTGCTGTGTCTTATCTCTAGCCTCTTTTATTTTTTTCATCTCTTCTAACATTCTGCTAAAAATTTGTGAGTAGTACTGCTTGGACCTTGAAGAAGGGGACACTCCCCGAAAGCTTGTCCTCAAAATTGTATGTTAGTGCAAATAAAAAAAGTATCACATCAGTACTCAATTGTTTCTATCTGAATTTTTAGAAATATTTAAAAACATTCAGAAGTATCCAGAAATACTCCAGAGGAAATAGTATATAAAGAAAAACTCTGTGACAGGCCTTTCCGATCTACTTAAAAGCATACCCAGCCTTTATTCTGAATTAGGATTAGAACGTGATGCATCTATCCATTTTCTACATATCTTTTCAAACTTCTGAAAAGCATTATGTTGAACATAAGTGTATTTTTCAAACATTACATGCTTGTCCATTTCCTGAATCCAGTCACCAAGGATAGGAGGGTTTAATGAAATCCAATGAGAAGCTATCAGCCTGCGAGCTATGAAAAGAGATCTCACAATAGCCACTACCTGATCGTAGTCTAGGATATTCAAGTATACATAACCCAAAAGGCAAAGAATGGGATCTGGAGTCAGTACAGTGCCATATACAGAGTTTATAAATTCCAACACT